GAGTTATGAGGAGAGGCTGAGGGAGCTGGGATTATTTAGCCTGCAGAAGAGAAGAATGAGGGGGGATTTGATAGCTGCTTTCAACTACCTGAAAGGGGGTTCCAAAGAGGATGGCTCTAGACTGTTCTCAATGGTAGCAGATGACAGAACGAGGAGTAATGGTCTCAAGTTGCAGTGGGGGAGGTTTAGATTGGATATTAGGAAAAACTTTTTCACTAAGAGGGTGGTGAAACACTGGAATGCGTTACCTAGGGAGGTGGTGGAGTCTCCTTCCTTGGAGGTTTTTAAGGTCAGGCTTGACAAAGCCCTGGCTGGGATGATTTAACTGGGAATTTGTCCTGCTTTGAGCAGGGGGTTGGACTAGATGACCTTCAGGGGTCCCTTCCAACCCTGATATTCTATGATTCTATGATTATCAGGATGGGAGGCCTCACATCAAGGCCAAGAGACAGGGAGTTAGAGACTGACAAAAACCAGATACTGGGAGTCAAGGCAGGCTGGAGACAAGGAGGAGGATTTTCACAGGGATTCAATATCTAAGGATTACTCCTCCTGGTGTATGATGTGCTGGCATTTAAACAATGGTGGGCCCCAAACCAAAATGGAGTCACATGTGCTAACTTTTCCTTAACAAGATTCATGGCAGAGAATCCTTAGTGAAGGTGACATCGAGTGGCCCAGATCCATGCTAGTTAGGTTTCTAATTATCTTTGAGGATTTGGCCATAAGCTCCACCCTGGCTAGCTTCTGTGAGTCCCTTGCTTACATGCCTAACTCTCCCCATAAAATACACAGGGAATCCAGGCATCTAACTCAGGCCTCAGAGTAGCAGCTGTGTTAGTCTGTATTCGCAAAAAGAAAAGGAGTACTTGTGGCATCTTAGAGACTAACAAATTTATTTGAGCATAAGCAGCTGTAGCTCACGAAAGCTTATGCTCAAATAAATTTGTTAGTCTCTAAGATGCCACAAGTACTCCTTTTCTTTTAACTCAGGCCTGTAAGTTCCAGGGTTTAGGTGTTGCATTGTTCAAGTACCTCTGTGGATTTAGTTTCCTATCAATCTGGAGATGAAAAGTCATTTTTAGATAGTGTCAATATCTGGTCATCCAAGCTTAGGAGCCTGAGGCTTAGCAATGCTTTGACAAATGGGAACTTCTTGGCTAGTTCTTCAAAGTGTTTCTCCTTTCTGACCTGCACGCTGGGTTCAACATGAGGCAGATGCTCTTCATCTAAGACGGTGGTTCTCAACTCCGGGCTGGTTTGTTTACCTGCTGTGTCCGCAGGGTCGGCCGACTGTGGCTCCCACTGGCCACGGTTCGCCACTCCAGGCCAATGGGGCCTGTGGGAAACAGCACGGGCCGAGGGATGTGCTGGCTGCCCTTCCCGCAGCCCCCATTGGCCTGGAGCGGCGAACCGCGGCCAGTGGGAGCTGCAATTGGCCGAACCTGCGGACGCGGCAGGTAGATAAACCAGCCCAGCGCGCCAGGGGCTTTCCCTGAACAAGAGGTGGACCAGAGTTGAGAACCACTGATCTAAGAGCTCATTTCTTCTAGGCCTTCTGACATCGAGCAGTAGTGGTGGTTGCATCGTCTGCGAATGATGCACATTGGTTATCATTGACATTGGTGGCAGCTAAGTCCCTGGCATCTCCTGGTCTCTCCCAGCTGTCATCATGATGACGAGCACATCAATTATGTTAATTTAGAAGCCACTTCTGAATGTCAGGTTGCTCCACTCACACACTTCCTGCGAATGCTTTAGAGCAGTGGTTTTCAAACTGCGGGTCGCGACTCATGCTGGGTTGCAGAATGTAAGGCACTGGGTCACGGGTGCTCTGATCAGCACCGCCGACAGGGCCATTAAAGGTCCCATTGGCAGTGCTGCCTGGCTAAGGCAGGCTAGTCTTTACCTGTTCTTAAGAATGTAAGAATGGCCACACTGTGTCAGACTAAAGTCCATCCAGCCCAGTATTCTGTCTTCCGACAGTGGCCAATGCCAGGTGCCCCAGAGGGAGTGAACCTAACAGGTAATGATCTCGTGATCGACCTCCTGCCATCCATCGCCACACTCTTGACAAACAGAGGCTAGGGACACCATTCCTTACCCATCCTGGCTAATAGCCATTAATGGACTTAACCTCCATGAATTTATCCTGTTCTCTTTTAAACCCTGTTATAGTCTTAGCCTTCACAACCTCCTCAGGCAAGGAGTTCCACAGGTTGACTGTACGCTGAGTGAAGAAAAACTTCCTTTTATTTGTTTTAAACCTGCTACCCGTTAATTTTATTTGGTGGCCCCTAGTTCCTATATTATGGGAACAAGTAAACAACTTTTCCTTATTCACTTTCTCCAACAGCAGACAGCAGCAGGTCCCACTCCTAGGTGGGGGGGGGGGGGGCGGAGCACGAGGCTCCACGCACTGCCCCTGCCCCAAACACTGGCTCCATATTCCAACTGGCCACTTCCCATCCAATGGGCACTGGGGGGGGTGTGAAGGGCAGTGCCCGCGGGTGAGAGCCATGTGGAGCTACTTGGTGCCTCTGCCTAGGAGCCAGACCTGCTGCTGGCCGCTTCTGGGGTGTAGCGCGATCCGTGGTGCCAGGACACGCAGGAAGCCTGCCTCTGCACCCCTGCTGCGCCACTGACCTGGAGCCGCCTGAAGTAAGCCTGTGCCCCAACCCCCTGCCTCAGCCCAGGGCCCCTTTCTGCACCCCAACCCCCTGCCCCATCCCTGAGCCCCTCCCACACCCCAAACCCCCTGCCCCAGCCCTGAGCCCCTCCCACACCCCAAACCCCTTATCCCCAGCTCTGTTGGGTCACAGGCATCAACAATTTTCTTCAGCTGGGTTGCCAGAAAAAAAGTTTTAAATCCACTGCTTTAGAGCCTTCCAACACACTTCTTTTCCTTCCTCTGCAACCTACTTCCCTGACATGCCCTAGGCACTCCTCCAAGCCTCCCCTCCTTGCACCTACGTTCATTCTTACGATTCTGGCATTGAGATTGTGACTGGCATTTGCTGGGGAAGCCCACATGGGGGACTGGAGTTGTGGGGGAATGAATATACATTAAAGAAGTTGCACTAAAGGTGGGTGCCTCACAAAAATAGGTGTGCACAGGAAGAGTAGAATAATCAGGAAGCAGGAGTTTCTTGGAGAAATGTGTTTCTACAGCAGCACCTCTGGAGAACCAGGTCATAACTAGCTTTCCCTCTTACTTCTCCATAAAGGCATGATGGAGCAGGCCAGCTCATGCATGTTTAGTAACTGATGGCAGAAGTTACAACTGTAGCAAACAACGTGACTGGCCAAACCTCCATTCATGCATTATTTTCAGTCTCAAGTTGCCCTTTCTTCTTTCTAGAACACTCTGCTCCATGGCCACTGACACCTTGATCTCTTCCCAGGATCTCTACCCCAACCAGCTGCCACAACTAATAAACTCTTCATGCCAAGTTGTGAACCAGACTCTCCACCTGCACAGTGAAAAATTTCAAGCGGAGACTTCCAGCCTTGGCCCCTGACCTGCTGGAATCTCTGCACCTGCTTCAGCTCCTTTATGGAGAAGTTGGGGGAGATAATATTGCATGCGTCTTATTCTAAAATCCTCAGAAGGCAATATAAAAGTATTCATATTTTTAATCTTCTAGCAATGAGCTAGGTACTACTGTAAATACAGCTACTTCTAAAGAAACCAAGCACACTGTAATAAAGAGTGCAATAGCAGGCCAGCAATTTAAAGCATTAACAAAGAAGGCAAAATTGCAGCTTTATCTCATAGTACACTTTTTTTTTTTAAAGAGTAAGATATGAACACTTTTTAAACTGTACACAAGTAAACATGAATTAATGGCAAAACAGGCAGCTGTAAATTTACAAGCTTATGAATAGAGATTGGTGGTTACATCTTATTCAATCATGAGAGCAACACACCACTGGCTTTATGCTACTGGAAGAATTCAGAGACTTGCCCTGTCTTACATTTCTCATTTGAAAGCTCTGCAAGCTGCTACAAGGTTATATCTACTCAGGAGTAGCTCAGATAGGTGCCAAAGTGCTTTTGAAAATCCCAACAGGCACCTAAATAGCTTTTAAAAATCCAGCACTGAACTTAATCTCCTGGGTCCAAGTCCTGCCTTAATATAAAGCCCCGTATCCAAAGTCAAGCACTGAGAGACTCCAATAGTCTCAAATAAATTCTTAATAGAAATATTTGTTTTTATGCTACAGGTGGTCATGGCACTTCAATTTATCTTAACATTCTTCCTGAATGCCTTCACCTGTTGGAAGAATTTAGTCCAAAGGGGAAAATGATTTGTGATAGACTGACACAGATTCACATGAACGTACCACATCACCTTGGTCTAAAAATTTTCTTCTTTTGGTCTGAATCTGGTCTAACAGAAGTGAGAGTTGATCTGATTTAGAAAGAATCTGAATCAATTGAAGGCAGATCACTGTTTTTTCAAACTTTAGTCAACAGGGCTTTTGCAACACTCCTCACAGTGCTAGCAGCTCTTTCCCCTTCCCTTTCTGGGGTGATATTTACATGGTATTGACTCACTCTGTTAAACAAAACAAGCTTGGTTGCATGGTCTGTTTTCAGTGCCCTCAAATTCACATATGGAGTGTTAATCGCGGTTGGCAGTCGTTTCACTCACAAAGCCAGCAACTGAGAGAGAACTCACTTGTACAAAGATGAATTCTTTCTAAAAGCAAGGTAAGTTGTACCTGCTAGTATTTCTCAGATCCGCATGTCTACGACAGCCACTCTGTCCTTTGACTACATCATACCACCATTGGTCTGATACATGTACAAGTAGACATGTTTGGATTTATTATTTTTTCAAAGAAAGCCAACACAAAAGCACCTCTTAAGACATACTTTTAATATGTGGCATTCTGTCAATGTCAGTCTGAATAGTAGTTTATGAAGCCTTATGTATTAATGTGTTATGTAATAAACTCTTTGGTATTCTTCTTCCACAGGTAGAGAAACAGTGTGATTGTTTAAACTGCTTTATTTCCAAGCTTGTCAGCATTTGAGGAAGATGTTAGAGTAGGACAGAGCAATCCTAATGAACAATAAAGTTTTTTCTGTGTGACTATTATACTGGGAGAGGTGTTGCCATGGTACATTTGAATGTCCCTAAAATCAGTTTCCAATATGCAGTAGACCCCCTGCTTGATTTTTCTGACTGACAGATGTATTATTTGAAAAGCTCAAAACCAGTTTGTGACAGAACTTGGGTATCCTCCTAATTTCTGAGCAAAGAAAGGCACAAGATTTCAATTTTACTTTTTGGTTCCATACTTTGATTAGTTTTTGCTGATAAGACAAAAGCTGATCAATCCAGGGAGGCTGGTTACTCTTAACAATACTAAGATGAAGCCTTGTACAGTAATTGATAAAGCACACTTTAAAAGTTTTTGCACTCCTAGTGGAAGCAGCATGGCTAACCCTTAAAATAATAAAGCACAAAGGTACCACTTGAACACATTCTATTTTATGTAACAGTGTGACTGACACTAGGAACATACTATCCAAGTGAGTAAATATTTTGACTGTTTTGGATCTGCTGGCAACTTCCTTCAACCAGTAGCAGCTCCCTGGAGAGACTGCAATATTGTTTTCTTTTAATGTGAATTTAGATCACATTGGTTGTCATTTTAAAATTGATCTTTGATGCATATTGCCTTAAGTTGTGGTTTCCCCATATGACATTGAGAAGTACACAGCACCATGTACTATACAAGAGTGGGTTGCTGAGAAACACTTAAGGGATGATAGTGACAAAGGGTGTGGAAGATTAATCTTTTTTGGTCAGTATCGCAGAAAAAAAAAGTGAAACTGGAATACTGGCCCAGGATAACTATTTAGAAACAAGTTTGCTTTACAGGGTTTGGGCTGTCAAAATCCATAACTAATACTCTTAGAAATTGTGAGTAAGATTCACAAAGTTACTCTTCCATTATTTTTGCAGAGTCCAAAAGAAATAATGAGATTTCATTCATTGTATAAGCTTCCTGCCTGAAGCAGTCTCAGTACAGGTCATAAGCCTACCCAAAAGAATTATAAACAAAGCAGAAGTTTCCAGCGTTCTATTTACTGGTATGTGATGTGATCCATGGGGGTATGTCTACATTGCAATAAAAAACCCACAGCACCAAGTCTCAGAGCCCAAGACAGCAGACTCAGGCTCACAGGGCTAAAAACTGCAGTCTAGATGGTTGGGCTCAGGCTGGAGCCCAGAGTCTGAGACCCTAAGCCTGAGACAGCTGACCCAGACAGCTGCAGCTGTGCATCTCTGACTGCAGTGTAGATGTACCCATTATAGTCAGAGAAAGAGCTCAGCATTATTTCAATGCCCAAATCGGGAGAACTCCAAAACAGTCTGAGCTGGCTAAACCACAGAGAAAGCTTAAGGCACATAAGCTACTGCTAAGGTTTTGTTTGAGTACCCAAATTATCCCCACTGCTGATACTACAGCCATCTCTTTTTCCCACAGCACACTTATCTTTATTCAATTTCTTTTCCTTTGTCCCTGATGATAATCATGCAAACCAAGTTTAAAAACAAAGAACTTAAATCCAACCTCCACTTAAAAATATAAAATGCTATAATTTAAAAAAACAATAATGCTTTAAACTACTGCCCTCTGGACTAAAAAACTGAATTAAGGTGACTGAAGTGGCTTAGCTCTGGAATACATTTTTCCAGTGAGAGACACATAAGAATGGCCATACTGGGTCAGACCAAAGGTTCATCTAGCCCAGTATCCTGTCTTCCAACAGTGGTCAGTGCCAGGTACTTCCAAGGAAATGAACAGAACAGGGTAATTAAGTGATCCATCCCCTGTCATCCATTCCCAGCTTCTGACAGAGGCTAGGGCCACCATCCTGGCTAATAGCCATTGAGGGACCTATCCTCCATGAATTTATCTAGTTTGTTTTTTTTGGAACCCTGTTATAGTCTTCGCCTTCACAACATCCTCTGGCAAGTTCCACAGTGTGCAGTGTGTGAAGATGAACTTCCTTTTGTTTGTTTTATATGACCAATCAGGATCTATTTCCGACTCCCTAAGTACTATTTTAAATTAACAAGGAACAGTTTCACACTGCAGATATAATGAAATATACAACATTCAGAGCTCTCCCTTTCACCTCAAACATATCATCAGTATCCATCAAAATACAGAAGCAAAACTGCATAAAGTCAACAAGAGGGGAAGTAGGAGTATCATTTATATATTCTCAGACATTGCCACCCCAGATTTTAGCAAATAATATTAAAATGGCAGCTTTCAGAGTAACATTTCCATAGATTGATGATGATGGATGGATAGATTAAAGACTAAGTTATACAAGAAGAAAGTACGAATACAAAAGTTGCATTGAATAATCCTGAACAAGTACACATCTGCCAGTTTAATGTAGAAGGAACTGCGTCAACAGCATAATCAGATAATGAACGCTTATATTAAGTACTGGGTAGCTTATAGGGAACAAGCTAAGTTGGCAAAGTGATCTTGTTTAGATCAACTGACTTACAAGTTGCAGTCCAAGATTTTAATAAATATTTGTACATGTATATTTCACACAAACATATTAAAGCTGAATATATTTTTCTGCTAGGACTTCCAAGTGCAAATATGTATAATCCCCCTAGGTTCTGATTTCTATACTATATATTATAAAAGAATTATACTCCATTGCTTCCCCCCCACATCAGCCTGCAAAAATTCTCTTAAAAAAAAACTGATGTTAATATGAAGGTTCACAAGAAATGAACTACTCAGTTAAAGGAATCATAGCTTCAGAGAAGCAATGATAGGCCTATTCCTCCATTAAAGAGGATCAAACATCCCTGCAGAGTAAAAGCATTAACCACATTTTGGGACTAAGTACTATTAATTCATCATCAGTCAAAAATAGATCAGATTTCCGATTTGTTATTTTTGACTTCACACAAATAGTTACATTTGGATGTTCAAAGATCACTGTATGCCTACACCTAAGACATCACTAATTACAATGTGGTGAGGAGGAAAGAAAGTTGTTCAGCTCCCCAAACATTAATCTAACAACGTACATGGACTGTTTGTCATTGGTCCATTAAACCTATGAACAATTCTTATTTTGATTCAATCATGGATGCTGAAGTGTGGTTGCAGGTACATCCAAATGAACTGTTTCAGTGACTTAACAGCACTTTGATTTTGCCTTGTTTGATTCTCCACTACTGAAGAAGCATCTCCAGTTTACAGTGAAAAATAAAACAAAGTGGTTACGAAGATCACGTAACACAGAGTTCTGAAGCCCAGAGTGGAGGTTTACTGCTATATGGAAGTCTGCTGCTGGCCACTGGAGCACAAGTAGCAGCTGCTGCTGCAAGTGTTTCCTCCTCTTCTTGATCTTCCTGCACCGCAGCGAGACCTTCTGTCTCTTCAAATGGATTTTCCAAGCATTTCAAAACTTCTCTTACCTAGGGGGAAAGCCGCAATGTGTTGCAGTGAGAAATTAAAAAGTAAAAACTGAACCTTCGATGGGTTCAAAGCAATCTGAAAAACTGTATTTAATGGATAAGCAGACTATGAAGAGCCACAAATGAAAAGATGAAAAAACGTGATACGCTGATATAATCTAAACTGAAAATAGAGATCTGCAATTATTTTATCGTCTACTGTAGCCTGCATGGAACACGGTATGAGTAACAGCAATTGGGAGGCTTATAGTATTCAAAGTAAAGTACCTGAACACCTTTACATTAGCATCAATACTATACATATATTAATTGTATCTGCACACTGTAGTATTTAAACATAACGTTGAGCTAAATATGATCAAATGTTGTATTTTAAAACACCATTTGGCAAATAGGGTTTTAAGTACACACTAACCCTCAGCACTCTTGTGAGTTAAGTATCATTTTATAGATGAAAAAAAAAAAAAAAGAGGCTTGCCCAGTTGTGCAGCCAATCAGTGCAGAGCAGGGGTTGAAAAAAAGTCAGGAGTTCCTAGCTCTCTGCCTCATGCTGTATTCACCAGACAACCTGTAGCTCAAAAAAAAAAAAAAAATTGGCCCATCATATTCTATTTTTGTCTTTTAATCTTGTTGCACATTATGCAACATGTAATCTGGACTGTAAAATTCCTTGGAGGATTTTCTGAAGTGTCCTGCATACACAGCCATGTTGAATAGTAATACTGTACCTCTGTGAAGTCTCCATTCTCAGCTGCTTCAATGGCATTCTGAGCAATGTAATTTCTCAAGATATATTTTGGATTGTTTGAATTCATAATCTTCACACGTTCAGCATTCCAGACATCAGCATTACTAATACTCTCTCTCTCTTTTTCTAATCGGACTCTGAAAATAAGCAAGAAGGAACAAATTAAGAATTTTGTTTGGTTCAAGATTCTGTTTTTAAAATTTGGACCCATTTTCTTGAATTTGCAAGTGTAAATGGGAATTTCAAGATGAGAACATGGCCTATGATCCTCCTTGTTGGTCTGGAAAGCTCAGCCATTTTAAAATTTCAGCTACAAAAACTACCTCCCACTTCAGTTAAGAACCAGTTTCACAGTCCATTAGAGGCAGCAAACTGAAGTACAGCATGCACTAAGTGGCAAGCATACACACTTCCCTTGAAGACTTCACATTTTTGAAAATATCATTACTTATTTGAACAGGTAAAACATGTTGCATAAGTCATCATATGAAAGTTCCTGCACTTTCGGGAATCAACTCTGAAGCTTTTCTATGCACTTTATTGTATATTTAAGTTTCTTGCATGCTTACACTGGCAGAGAGATGGGATACAGTCAAGAATCAGATCTATGACTGGTACTTATTCCTGCTAGAATTCTCAGATGTAGTGAAGAGGGTCAGTCACAGGAAGCCAGCTGTGCCTGCCATCTCAAATTAAAGCAGGACTTCGCCTGCCCTAACTTACACTGCTGGTGTAATAGGCTGCTACACTATACCAACCCCACCAGTTCTGGCCCAGCAGAGATTATTCCTACCTACACAGAAGGATTTCTCTGTCAGGAATCTTGAGCTATCTTAAAGCCTTGTGGCACTTCTATGAAGCACCAAGTGACCTTAGTGGTCAAGAGAATGTGGGCCCCATTGTTTTGCTTTACCTTACGCTCCCCACCTGCTCTTCTAAATTCAAATACAATACTCAATGCCCTTGGCAGTAAGAGCATTGAGTATTTTCAGTTGCTTTATCTATTATTGTGTGGATTCTTCCCTCAGGCCAAGAACTATTAGCTGGGTGAACTACCCTAAAGGTTGGACAGCTCTGGTGTAAGTCATGTTTTGGTAATATATTTACTAAGGACCCAAACTAATACAATCAAGTTTAGGTATACGTGTTAGAATTAAAGTCAAAATACCTGTTTGCATCCAAATGTCTTATTGTATGTGCACCAATGCACCAAACTGGGATTTAATACTAATTAATTTATGAAATTTCCATGGAAAAATATTGAGCATGTGGGGGTTTTATTCTAACTTTTGTAGCTTATTCAGATGTCGGCGATGCCAAAAAAATAGAATCTGTTCTATGTTGTAAAGCTTTGGAGATGGGGCCATGCGGTCTTCTATTTGTAGAGGGCTATGTACTGTTGCTCAGTATAGCAGAACTTCAAAGTTATGAACACCAGAGTTATGGACTGACTGGTCAACCGGACACCATGTGGAACTGGAATTAAGTAATCAGGCAGCAGCGGAGACAAAACCCCAAACCAACCAACCAAAAAACCCCAGCCAATACTGTACTGTGTCTATATTGCATCTTAAAGGTAGGCACATCTGGGCTACCTGTCCCCACCTCCACTCGCCACACGGGGGGCAGCCACTTACAGACAGGAGGTGAAGATGCTGAAGTTTACAGACACAGCTGTTAAGTCCCTGAGCAGGAGCAGCACTGGGGTCTGCACTGCTTTCCTGTAAACCACGGGTGCAGGTTCCCCCTCTACCCCTGTAGTCAGGAGGTGGACAAGCTTACAAGCTCAGTCCTAGCCTGGGAAAGAAGTTTCCTGAGCTCCTGATAGAACCCGACCTGGAGAGCGAGCTGCTGAAACTGGAGCCCAATCTCCTCCTTGCATGCTGCGCTCTGGAGAAGCGGCTCAGTTTTAAAGGGCCACAGCCTCCACTAGAGGCAGCTGGATCTGGCAGAGCCCAGCTTACAGATAAAAGATACTGCGGGGGGCGAAAGGGGAGGGGGGAAGAGGAAGGAGCTGGAGGGTTCAGAGCAGCTGCAGTTCTTCACATGCCCTGAAGGAAGGCGGCAGTGTGCAGGAAACTCCACACAAGCCTGGGACCCAGCATCAGGCTGTTTTCCCCTTTGGAGCCCTGAGCTCCCAGGGTTAGGAGGTGTGGGTGTCTGGGCTGGGGGGAGGGGAGGCATGGAGGGGGCATAGCTGAGGTCTGGGCTGAGGGGGCCGCAAAGCTGGGCTCTGGCAGACAGCGGGTACATGTGAGTGTCTCGGCAGGGGGCTCTGTAGCTGGGCTCTGGGAGATAGGGGGTGCAGATGTCTAGCTGGGGGCACCCCACGGCTAGGCTCTGGGGGGTAAGGGAGCAGGTTTCTGATCCCCTGCTGGACTCTGAGGGGGAAGGGCAGAAAAACAGGGATTTACTTAACTCCCTACTCCTGGGGGAATTTTGTGTGTCTGTATTGTTACAGTCAATCACTGACAAGTATTTTGAAATAAATTACCAAAATAATTGAAACTGGCCTGATTATATCATGTTATTTTGACAAAATATGCAGAATTTTAAAATATTGTGTGCAGAATTTTTAATTTTTGATGCAGAATTTCCCCAGGAGTAGGAGGTGAAGACGCTGAAGTTTTCAGGAAAAGCTATGAGTCCCCGCTCCGAGCAGTCCGCCCTGAGGAGCAGCCCAGAACCTCTTGTGCAGAGTTATGAAAAACCTCCATTCCCAAAGTGTCCATAACTGAAGTTTTAACGTAGATATGAGACAGCACAAATGTATTGCCGGCAATATTTAATAATCTCACCTGTACTTCTGCAGCCATTCTTTCCAGTGTCTTTTATTTCTACTCAATAAGTCAGCTGCTGTTAATTGCTGCAGTTTAGAAAACTGTTCTATGCGTTCTAATTCTTTAGTTATATTAGCTTTTGTTCCAATTAATGCAAACAGTTGAGGATTAGACTGAGCCAACATTAGCATCATGGAAAGTTGTCTGCAGGGAAGAGGAAAGTTGTATCAGACTTTAAACTCACAGTAACAGGTAAGAACTGACTTTTTGTATCCAGACTATTTTAGCAAGCAAGTAAAGTAACCTTGTTTTTTGTCAGCAAAGCTAACTACCCTGTATCCCATAATAAAAGACTAATTTATTATGCAAAAGAACATTAATTTTACTGTTATTTCCCTCCTCCCATTTGTTTAATCCACTTCTCTTGTTGTGTCAAACCTAGATTGTAAGGCTGAGAATTCACAGCCACCTAGGGGATTTAGATGCACAATTGCCCCCTGAAATTAATGAGCTGTGTGCCTAAATGCCCTAGAAAGCTTTGAAAATTGCAGCCTCGTGTTTGTAAAGTGCCAAGCATAATGGGATTTCACTTTTACTTGGGGGCCCTAGGTACTACTGTAATACAAACACCATAGTATCATAGAAAAGGAAGCAAAAACACTTTAGAAGAGTGGGGAATGAACGCAATGGTACCGCTTTATAATCAAGCGGTACAAAGTAATATAACCATAGACTTGTTATATTTTATCCTATTTTGCCAGAAAGGATTGTGGACAAAAAACATACCTAATTTATGTAATTCAAACTAATTTATTGGATAATCACAGTTAACTCACACTATTAACTCAAAAAAATTAATGGTGATTAATCGCACTGAATACCAATTGAAATTTATTAAATATTTGTGGATGTTTTTCTACATTTTCAAATATATTGATTTCTATTACAACACAGAATACAAAATGTATACAGCTTACTTTATATTTTTATTACAAATATTTGCATTGTAAAAATGATAAAGAAATAGTATTTTTCAATTCACCTCCATACAGTACTCCGTACTGTAGTGCAATCTCTATCGTGAAAGCACAATTTATAAATGTAGATGATTTGTTACATAACTGCACTCAGAAACAAAACAATGTAAAACTTTAGAGCCTATAAGTCCACTTAGGCCTACTTTTTGTTCAGCCAATCGCTAAGAGAAACAAGTTTGTTTACATTTTACAGGGAATACTGCTGCCTGCTTCTTATTTACAATGTCACCTGAAAGTGAGAACAGGCGTTCGCATGGAACTTTTGTAGCAGCGTTGCAAGGTATTTATGTGCCAGATACGCTAAACATTCGTATGCCCCTTCATACTTCAGCCAACATTCCTGAGGACATGCTTTCATGCTGTTGATGCTCGTTAAAAAGAAATGCGTTAGTTAAATTTGTGACCGAACTCCTTGGAGGAGAACTGTATGTCCCCTGCTGTTTTACCCATGTTCTGACATATATTTCATGTTATAGCAGTCTTGGGAGGATGACCCAGCACATATTGTTCATTTTAAGAACACTTTCACTGCAGATTTGACAAAATGCAAAGAAGGTATCGATGTGAGATTTCTGAAGATACCTACAGTCCTTGACCCAAGGTTTAAGAAACTGAACTGCTTTCTGAAATCTGAGGACGACGAGGTGTGGACCATGCTTTCAGATGTCTTAAAAGAGCAACATTCAGGGCAGGTCTACACTACAGCTGGAATCGATGCTCTGAGATCGAGCCACTGGCAGTCGATTTAGCAGGTACAGTGAAGACCCTCCAAATCGACAGCAGATCGCTCTCCAGTTGACCCCTATACTCTACCCCTGACGATAAGAGTAAAGGTGTAGACCCACAGTGTCTCAACCTAAGGTACTTCAACTCCAGTTACGTTATTCACGTAGATGGAGTTGCGTAGCGTAGGTCGACTTACCGCGGTAGTGTAGACATAGCCTGAGATGCAGAAACTATAGAACTCGAACCACCAAAAAAGAAAATCAACCTTCTGCTAGTGGCATCTAACGCAGATGACGAAAATTAACATGCGGCAGTTTGCTCTCGTTATCGAGCAGAACCCATCAGCATGGACACATGTCTTCTGGAATGGTGGAAGCATGAAAGGACATACGAATCTTTAGCGCATCTGGCACAAATATCTTGAGATGTTGGCTACAATAGTACCACACAAACACCTGTTCTCACTTTCAGGGGGACACTAAACAAGAAGCAGGCAGCATTCTCTCTCCTGCAAATTGCAATCAAATGCCTTTGTCTCAGCGATTGGCTGAGTAGACTTGTGGGCACTAAAGTCTTACTTTGTTGTATTTTTGAATGTAGTTATTTTTTGTACATAATTTTATACTTGTAAGTTCAACTTTCAAGGTAAAGAGATTGCACTGCAGTACTGTATTAGTATTTTTCAATTCACCTCTTATTTTTATAGTGCAAATAAAAAAATATAAATATAGATTCAACACTGTACACTTTGTATTCTGCATTGCAACTGAAATCAATATATTTAAAAATGTAGAAAACATCAAAAAATATTTAAATTGTATTATTTAATTGCGATTAATTATTTTTATCACTTGACAGCACTAAAATGACTAATATACTCTGCTAAAGAGATATGTTAATGGTTTTAACAGGACTAATTTATTAAAGGACAGGAGTTACTATGGTTAATAGAGCCAAGTTATTTTGGTGTGGTTTTTATTAGGTTTCTAAAAGCTGTATACCGTTGGATTGTGTTAGTGGGAGCTGTCCAACAGTTTTATCACTTATTCAGCTGTCTTCTCCTCCTTCTTCCAGTTTAAGTAAACATTTGTTTTTGGAATACTGTATTTTTGTCATGCCACACCAATGTAAGTGGAAGTCTCAGAATAATTTTCTAAACTTTTCATTAATGCATACATAGAAAGTAATTAAAGGACAGGAAAAAAAACAACCTATCAGCACCTACTAGCTAAAGGACAACTCATCACTAAAGATAATTAAATATAATATCTAGCAGTTTTGATTATTCAGTCTACATAAATTACCCTCCCATTTGATCTACATATGCCTAATGCAACTATCACTGGAGTGCTGTGGTATAACAGTTGTTGCACTTAGTGTAATACAGTACTGCATTAAAAAGCTTTGCTTTCATACCACTCCGATTTATTCATTACATCTCCTGCTCCTCTGTACAAAGTCTAACTATAGTAACCCAAAAGGACTGATTTGTGTATAATCAGATTTAATTCTTATTACAAGATTTATGTTTAGGCTCCAGATTTGGTTTACCTTGAAATCATAATCTAGTAATACCAACTGGCTTCTTAAGTATTGATTTCTTCCTTTTTCAATTTACCACATCATTGCTGGAACTCAACTGCCTATCTATTCAAAAGGTGATAACCAACAGTATCTCAGCGTGATATCAGAAATGTGTGAACATTCCTACTGCTCAGAGTAGAAATTAGACACTTTTATTCACACTGACAATTCTGAGAAAAAGGTATATGTAATTATGTTGGCTTCTGCAACACTAGGCACACAAAACGTCTGCCAAACAAACAATTAATAGATCCTAGAAAAATATATAAAATCTATTCATATTAGAAACAATGAAGAACACTAAGGGTCAGTTTCACTAGAATGCTCTAATTTCCACTGTTTCCAAGATGCAAAGCAGATGTAATCCTGATGTAACTGGCCACATGAGTCAAGTTTACAGCTGCTCTGCATTGCTGAGTGGTGCAGAACAGCTAGAGTGTACCAGTAAATCTGGCCCCAAAGATGGAAACTGGATGGCTCTGGGGATTTGTAACAGTATACAGAGCATCTAATACACATTTTAAATTATATTTAGCACAGTAATTGAAATATAATGCTACCACTCAGCTTGTTGGCAGTACATGTGAAATGGGTTTTGGTGATTAAAATCCAGTTTAGTGAAGTGTGTCCTTACCACAAAACTACCGAATTTGACACACTTATTAGCTTATGCCACAGAGAAGCCAAATATGGAGGACAAAAAAAAACCAAAACAACCCCCAAACAACTAGTCTGTCAGGCCATGGTTAAAATGTCCTGGCATGGCAACACAGGAAAACTCGCACTGCTGTTGATCTTATATTCCTGGTCTGTGGACAGTCTGAGACTGTCACTCTGGCACCTTAAAGATCACTAAACTGATTTAAACATTAAAAAGCATACAAAAAACAGCTATATATAAATAGTATGCCTGAAAACAGTTCAAAATTGTCCTTGTTTACTTCAGTTGTACCTTGGATCCATCTGAGGCCTGAAAGCAACTTTTAATTCTTCCATTGAAGCACACTGCATGGCAATCTTTTCAAGGAAATCTTCCAATTTTAGAGGATCCAAATCGCCCGAGAAAGAGCTCAGCAAACGGAAAGTATTTGTAAAGTCTCCACCTGAACACAAAATTTTATTCTTCAGACATAAGACAGTCTAATTTAACTTCAACTTAAAGTTTATAGTCTAATTTGTTTCTACCTGATACATCCACATTTTTGAAATAAGGTTAATTTGTTGTCAGTGGAATATGACTCTCTGATTAGTTATTTTTCTAACATGGTAAACAAGACAACCAAGTTATGTCCTGTTTTCATCACTAACCTGTGAGATGCATAGTTTCCAGAAGTTCAGACACCAATTTATCATCATCTTCTAATTCCAAATGAATGAGACCTAGCTTCTTCCTCATCTTCTGCAAATAATGCCTCTCAAATTCTGCATCGTACTCCTCTTCAAGAATGAGTTCACTGAACTCCAAGGGCAGTTCTGGGACTAAAGCTTCAGCCAGCTTCCCTAGATTCCACTTGCAGATCTCTGGCTGTTTGTTATAAGCATAGCGGCCTCCATTATCTGAACCATTGCAAATGTGTTCTGGGTCATATCTACAGACAAAGAAGAAATGGTTAGCAGTCTTCTTCTAGTTAACAGAGTGACTACTGAGTTAGATCCTTTAGGAGACTAAAAAGTGCAAGAAGGAAGAGTGCTTTTAGTTCTGACATTCCTCCAAAACTATTAATCTAAGCACGTGCTTGTATTGCCCTTCCTTAGGATAAACCCAAGACCTTTCAAATACAGAAAAGAACCATGCTAGAAAATGAACAGGTTATACATATACGGTTGTGACAGCTACAGAAGGTTAGAAATGGTTATGTCACGGAATACAAACAATTAGGGCTAACTTAACTGGACTCGCCACAAATAGGGCGTAATAAATCCACTTAGGAGGATGTTGAAAAGGAATGAAAGCAATCAGGAAAAGCATGAGGATTATTTTGCACAGTAAACACACAGTTGTACATTTCAGGTAATTAAACTATACTGACCTGTCCATAAACCCAAAAGGGCCATAGTCAATTGTAAGTCCTACTATGCTCATATTATCTGTATTCAGCACACCATGGCAAAACCCAACACATTGCCATTCAGCAACCATCCTTGCTGTCCGCTTTGTTACCTAAGAAACAAACACTTCAACTTTGATTATGACTTAGACATGTCTATATATTTCAAGGGATCTATCATTTTAACCTAAACAGTGTTATTTTACAAGGTATGACTGCATTACACTGTAGGGCTTGAAATTCAGGGGGAAAAAAACAAACGCTACTTCCACTGAAGTATGGCCTCCTGCTCCACTAACATAGTTAATTCCCAAAAGCAAACAGCGATTTAGCCCAAGTCCCAGCAGTAGCAACATTTTAGCAGCATCTCCCCCAAACTAAAGGTCTGCTCTGACTGAAATAAAATTCATATGGACTTCAATGGGAGCAGGATCTGGCCCTCAGGATGTATATATAAAAAGTTTCATTAGCCTAAATGCTGTGTGTCTGTTTCCTTTGTTCATTATGACCCTATTTTCCACTCCCACTTTTTTCCTCATGCCATTTTCTTTCCTACTACATCTATCTTAACTGACAAGCCAGCTCATACAACTTGGCCCTATGAGTCACAGTGGCTCCCTTACCGTAGCCTGCCACTGAATTTGTTAATGGTGGGTTGGAAGAAGTGGTAACCAGAGAACAAAAAAAAAAAAGACAGATGCAAGAGGCTAGGAGCGAAAGAACAAAGGAAGTGACTATTAGCACACTATGAAACTAAGGGCACCTGTCCAAGAATGATAAAAAAGGCTTCTAACAGAAGGTCAGAACCACTAGACCAGTGGTGCTTAACCTGAGGTGCATGCACCCCCTTGGTGTGTGAGATGCCCTTTCTGTGGGTGCGAAGGTTTTTAGAAGGTTTTTTTAGAAGGTAAATCATTGAAAACACAAATTAAGCACAGGCATGTAAGTACAACTACTTTGTTTCATCAAACCTATGCGTTTATTAACATTATACAGTTAACAATTACTGTAATATACAAACAAAAAATATATCTAAGTTTAAAGAACTGACCTACTTCAATGATTTTTGATATGGGGTGCAAGACCATATTTTGAGAACCAAAGGGGTGCAGGCTGCAGTAAAGGTTAAGAACCACTGCACTAGACTAAGGATGATCTAGATTGAATAAACCTTCACTATTCCAGTCTTTGCAACAAATATCTCCTGTTGCCCACTTCTAATTCCAGAACAAGAGCTGTAGGATTTCCCCATAAGAAATGTAAGTTGGTGGGGCGGGGGGACGGGACTTACAAAGATTTAGAAAAATGAAGACGTGTTAAACAAGGATCATCAGTGTTAGACTTTGTGGTAGGGGAATATCACATTCCTTAACTATGCTAAAGAAACAGAAGATGCAAAGTTAAGTAAAAAAAAAAAAAAAAAGTCAGGAAATGCCAAAATTGAATTTTCGTGTACAAGCTGAACTCTTCCTCATTGTATCCATGCATTACAACAGTTTTTAAGTTACTTTTCCATAGTATTGTTTCCGCAGTGAGCAGGTTAGATGAGGTATAGCACATAGAGAAAGGCATGCAATATTTTTAAACAATTTATCAATTTCTTCATTTCTGTGCTATCTGCCAACCAATATTAAGTCTGTTCTACGAAAACAGTTATTTTAACTTTTAAAATAAATCTAATTAGTAAATCTATTACTGATCTGCTACCATTACAAAAATCACTGACACAAACTATGATTTTCAAATCCTCAAAACCTGGTCAAATCAAAACCTATTTGCACCAGAACACTGACTTCTCCTCTGAAACAGCTATCAACTTGTCAAATTTCAAACTTCCAATCCTTCCTTCTAGAGCTGTTTACGGTAGAAAAAGTGTTTATATAAAAAAGAGGAAAAGCCAGCTTCACACAACTCTCATTCTCAAAAATGGCAGAACTGTCTTTGCTTAAACTTTCATCAAAATCAACCAACCGGGACAGGCTGGAAAATTTCAGCCCCGAGGAACAAAGTTCCAGAAAGTTAGAGAAACAGAAAGAAGGGTTTAGAACACCAACATTTTGGAAACTAACTTTATGCATTCCCCTCACCACCATTTTCCAGCTTCCACGCTGGCATGCATTATAGTGCTTTCAAGCACAACACTTTATATGGTTTCCACACTGCTCAGAAGGGCGGTAGAAAGCCATAGGACACAAGTTACTCCAAGCAGCTACATATGCACAGAACTGATTAGAAATATGCTATAAACAAGTGCAAGTGGCCACACTCTGTACTATGGCTCTATGCCAGAGAGATGAGATACCACCACAGAGTAAATTAATCATAAAAGATGAGATCCAAGCTATTGAAAACAAAAGCTCACAGAATGATAAAGACATGTGAACTGCACGGTGCCACTGCATAAAATGATTTGTTATTCTAGCAATTGTTTGTTTTTTTTCAAACTGCCAATGAAAAGCTTGTAATGCAATTAAAACATGGATCATTCCCAAAGAAGTGTGCGCTGATTAGAATGAGGTTGTCTGTGTTCTAGCTTCAATTACCACTTCTCTCCATCACCAATTTCTAAACTTACTGATTTTTACAAGTAAGTTTTACAAAAAGAAGAGCTTGGGAAATTATATGTTACCGAAGCCCACCACTTTACAATGCCTGTTTACATTTTACCCTTGTTAAAAATGACATCTAAAACTACTGTAACAAAGATTCAAAAAAAAAAAAATCAATCTGTTCTCTTTACATAAAGTGGTATCAAATGCACTCACTTTTGCTCTCTCTCTGGTTTAGTTTCCTTCACAGCGGAAAAGAGGCGAAGGCATTTTATATATTAAAATGGTTTACCTTGAAATCATAATCTAGTAATATCAACTGGCTTCTTAAGTATTGATTTCTTCCTTTTTCAATTTACCACATCATTGCTGGAACTCAACTGCCTATCTATTCAAAAGGTGATAACCAACAGTATCTCAGCGTGATATCAGAAATGTGTGAACATTCCTACTGCTCAGAGTAGAAGCATTTTAAAAGCATTTTATATATTATAGGCAGGCCACAAAGTGCTGCCTATTAAGGTTGTCCAACACTTCCATTATAAGACCCTACTTTCAGTTGCTTATAACTAACTGTCTGGTCTGAAATTTTAAATGTCAGGTGTCTGTCTCAGGCTGAATTTTTGTGGAAACTATCAGTCATTTCCAAGGAGAAAAATATGTTGTTTTGCCCTTGTTAAAAAATACCGGGGACCTTTTCTTTGAAAAGTTCTCACACCCCCGTGCTTTCGAGCAGAGACATGAAATTTGGAAGAGGGCGGCATATGTATTAAATGTGCCTTTTGCAATCCCTGTGAAAACATGCTCAAGTTTGGCCAAGTAATAAGCTTATGAAAAATGACAGCTGACACTTTGAACAGGTTACCAAGGGAGATTGCGGAATCCTCATCATTTGAGGTTTTTAAGAACAGATCAGACAAACTTCTATTAGGGAGGGCTTAGGTATACTTAATTCTGCCTCAGTGTTGGAGGATGGTCTGCTCACCTTTTGAGGTCCCTTCCAGCCCTACATTTCTATAATTCTGTACTCAGTAGCAATTTAGATTTTAGCAGCTGAAACCTCCAAAGATGGTCTAAACTGAGCAAGCCCTGAGGCTGGAGCAGGACTTTCCCTGCAATTGCAACTCGGGACTGTTGTGTGCCCGGCTGGGTCCTGCCACTTGAGCTGAGAGAGCAGGAAGGCTGTCTCTCCTGCACTCTCAATGACTCTGCCGCTGGGCCCAGGCAGCGCAGAGGAGGAAGCTGACTGATTTGAATATAGAGTGTACAAGAGATGAACCTGGGGGAGAACATGGAGTAGTTTGGAACAAGGAGGTTGGGGGGGAGTGGGATGAAACTGTCAGGAAGATGGGGAGAGCGAAATAGGGACATAGGGTATATGTGAGGCAGGAGAATGGGTCTAGGAGCCAGGTGAGAAAGCATGTGTGGGAAACTAGGAGCCAGCAGGTGGGAGCGTGAAACAGACTGGATGAAGAGCAAGGTGATGGAAACAGGGACTGGCTAGGCAAGTTCACTGGCATGGGTGATGGGAGCCTGGAGGAGTGATTTACTAAATTAGATGGGACAAGAAGCTTAAGAAGTGGAATTTGGGATGAGGAGTCTGGGATGGGAAATGGCTAGGACTGGGACAGTGACAGGTTGGAGGGAATGGAATGGGGTGAAGTTTGGGTGGAATGGACAGAGAGTCTGTGCTGACTTGAACACAATACCCAAGATTCCTAAGCCTCTGTGTCCCTAGGCTGTCACCACATATCTGTGAAACCCACTGGCAAAGTGCCCTCTCTACTGCTGGTCCACAGAAATGACGACAACCTATTACTATCATATACCCTATTAGCTCAAGCCACAGAGGTCTGTTGGGGATCAAGCAGTTGCAACCCTGCTGATGATATAGGTGTCTATAATGGAATTTGTGTTTTCACTTCGCTTTTTTAAAAACCCAGAAAACAAAACACAAAAAATAAGTTAAAAGAAGATTAAGATTGCAAAGTCACACACACAGAATTCAGGAAATGCTAGAATTAAAGTTGCCTATGCAATCCGAATTTGGCACCTTTGTGCAGATGCATTATAAATTCAGTCTTTAATTACACAATCCCATACTATTTCCCCCCCCCCCACAGGACCCCTGCCTCATTCAGGACACAGGATGGACGTACTCTAGGGATGAACCAGGATTGTGTAGCAAAGGAAACTCTTGCGGGAACCTTACTTCATTTGTGCAGAAGTAAGAAGATGTGGTGAACGAGGAAGGGGACTACAGGGAGAGAAAGGACAGTCATGGGCAAGGGCTGCCCTGGAGAACTGGATTTATAAATGTCTATGCTAGAGTCCCTAGCATCATATAGGAAAGTCACTTAAATGAAACTTTTCATAGGGGTCACTAACTGTTCCTCGGTGCTAAGCATTCACAACTGCAACTGAAGTCAGTGGGAGTTGTGCTATAGAATACTAAGTACTCTGGAAAATCAGCTCATAGGCATCTTAAACTGGGTACCCAAAAGGAGGGAACTTTTAACTTTAGTTCCTATGCCTCAGTCTCCCATCTGTAAATTGGGGATAATTATACTCCCCCACTTAATAGGTGTGTTGTGAATATAAATTAATGTTTGTGAAGTGTTCAGATACAATGATTAATGCCATAGAAAAACCCATGAGGAAATTAATAATTCTGTCTTCAAAGCAAGGTGTGAATAGTGTGCAGCTAATAAGGCCTGAGGCCACACATTAATTGAAAAAAAAAATGAGGAGAAAAAAATACTGAATAGCAGTCGCCAAGAGAGCACCATCCATCCTGTGCACTGAATGAGACAGGGGTCCTTCGAGGAAAAATAGTATGCAATCGCATAACTGAAGATTATCGTAATGCATGTGCACAAAGGGGCCGAATTAAGCTTGGAAAGGCAACCCGAATTCTGGCATTTCATAACTTGAGAACCTGACTTGCAACCTTAATGTTTTAATGGTTTTTGAGTGCAGTATTATATATAAAATGACAGACCATAATAATTGGCAGGTGGGCCAGAGGTAGATCTACTACCTCAAACTAGTTTTAAACTTTTTCCACTGACTAGATTTAAAGTAAAACTGTCTAAGGCTTGAGACAGGACAAGAATCAATGATTAATTCAGGAGGGGGAAAAAAATCAATTTGAGGGATCTTGCCAGAACACAGTGCTGTTTGTAGAATTTACATAAATTATTCTAAAATAGCATTTTTATTGTTCATTTTAAGCTTCCTAAAGTAGCTGCTGGCTATTTCCTGCTAACCTTGCCAGCTTGAACAAAGCCTTCTGAAATACTGTACCAGGTATCAAGTAGCTGAAATGGTTTGTTTTACTGTATTGGCAAATTCCTCCTCTTTCACATATACCTCCTTATGTTGCATCATGTGGCTGCGCTAAGACTTTTCATTCTTCCTTTAAGAAAAATCAGAAAAGCCCAGAAGGCAGGTCGTATGGCCGCTTTCCAGCTTCCCGATTTAGGTATTGTATTTAAATTGAGTGTACTGGACAGAGCCCCAGAAAGCACATAATATTTGAATATACAATTAATGAAACAGAAACAGAAGCATTTCATCTTCCCTAACCCCTTATTTTGCTCATTGAAAAAAGACACTTATTTCCACCACCTTACAAACAACTAAGGAAATTGTGTGAAAAGTGGTGTTAACACAATATCAATGTTTCGATGTATAAGTACACAACTGTCAGGAAATGTGAAGTTATAATTCCCACAACAACTTTAGCTCAGAAACATTACATATTTCTATTAAGGCATAAATTTAGCACTATATACACACACACCAATGCTACATATCTGCCAACAGCTCAAGTAATGGTTATTGAGGAAACCATAATTGAATGTTCTGGCTTCTGAGCATTTAAATTGTGAACCTTTAATTTACATTCTTCTCAGTCAACATCCTTTTTTCCCCCCATCTTTCACATTACAAAATGAGAACAGACCCTTTTTACATTCTAAATCATTACCTCATCATCAGCCAATCAGGTTCCAGAACTCCCCAACATTCTGATATACTCAATTTATTATGCATAGTCTTGTACAGCTCTTCAAAAGCTAGGGGAATCTTGACTTGCTGGTGAGGAGGTAACTAGTCTCTTAAGTACATTTCAATATACAGTTCTACCAGGAGTGTTTTTTCCAAAAGCAACAAAAAAAGTTAAGATAACCAAAAGGGAAAAAAAACCCAAAAAACAAAAAGTTAACTCACCCCCTATTCCTCACACGAAGTTCTTGTACCTTACTTCTACATATACTATGAAAGGAAAGAATTATCAGTCTCATACCTCTCTGAAGAAAGCAGCATTCCTCTGAACACTGTTGTCAGAGTAAGCCTGCTGGATTTCTGGATAGAAAGTGCTGATCACATAATTAAGCATCTGTATTCGAATATCATTTCGGTTAACACTGGGACCTTTGCGTCCTGTGTGTTCATCTGTAGGTTTAAAAATCTCAAAAGATCCAAACCTGTTTTAAGATAAGACACTTCTTATTCATTTATATTACAGCAATAAGAAAATTACCACTTAGAAATATTACTGTAGTACCATCTCCTTAATTTAGGCCCCAGTCCTGCAAATGACAGAGATAATCAAAATAACAGAGCCCCTCTGAAGCACCACACAGCAAAGGTGTGCATCCACGTGCTGCCACGTGAAGGATCAGGGGCCCTAGAGAGCATTAACAGCTAATTCTTAAGAGCTTCCTAAAAATATTCAATGGAAGACAATGATTATATGGTGAACTTATTTTAAAAAGTAACAGCAAACCAAAATAAAATACTGCCTATACAAATGAAAGACATCTTGCAAAAAAATTGGAAAAAAGATTTTCCAAGCTTTATATATTTCCTATTCCTCAGCCTTTCATTAGGAATTTGTGACTTTGCAACGGACCAGAGATCTTCCATAGAGTCCTAATATGGTTTCAAGCAGGAACTACCTTCCATTTCTAATATGTAGTCTCACATTTATCACGATCTAGATTTTGACAATTTTATTCCTTATCCTAAAACCCTTCATTAAATGGCTTTTAAAACAGTCCTCTCCCACATAATAGTCACCCACCAGCATCAGGAGTATCATAAAGGCGGCTTCTCTTTGCCAGGACTTGAAAATAATTTTTTTTTAAATTTATGAAGCTTAAAAAAATTCCACTTTCCATAACACCCCACCGTGATTTTCTGTTTTACTCCCTACTAATTAATGTTTACCTGGCAGTGTGCAAAGATGCCAGTGCATCCCATCTACTGGATGGAAAACACAGAGTTCCACCAGTCTAGCACTGAAGAGCTAAAACCCCAGAATGAGAATCATATATAGATGGCCTTGTTAGAGAAATAGTGTATTTCCAACAGGATGATGGTTTTGTTTTAACAAGAAAAAAATTGAAAACAGGCTTCTCTTTACCTTATAAAGGTGGAAGCTATTCTCAGGACAATTGTGCATCTTTCATTTTTTGGATTTCCATCATAGAGTATGTCCCGAACAACTTTTGAATCGGATGTTACACACGTTCCAGCCCTTGTTGTAGGTATACCTAGATGAAACATGGCCTCACTACACAGGAATTCTCTTATACTCGACCGCAGGACCTTTCGACCATCAGCTTGTCTATAAGAAAAACAGTAATACGACTTAGCTCTTGTGTAACACTTCTCATTTCTACATCTCAAAACACTTCACAAAAGCAGAGTATCATGACCCTCATTTTCTAGGTGGAGAAATGAAGGCCCAAAAGGCAAGTGACTTGTCCAAAGTTGCCCACCATCTCCTCTTAGTTTCAATTTACAATGTGTAATGCTATCTCCTTATTGGAAACATTTATTTTTGTTATTAATACCAACATTCATAGTAGAACAGTAGAAATAAAGTTAACATATCCTCCTTTCCAATCACCTCTTTTGTTGTTTGTACAGGTTCTATACACTCCTTAAGCTTATCCCAGTATTTAAATTCTGTAGAATACATTGTTAATGGAACACAAGAGCCAGCAGAAGTGTTCCCATCATTTTTTAAATTTTAATAAAGAGCTTTTCAAACAAGTAGAAATTCGTCTGCAGACCAGACATTACAGAACTTCACCTAGTATTGTAACTGCCTATAAAAAAAAAAGTGAAACTGGCTTCATTATTTTTTATTATCCAAACTCCAAAAAACCACAATCTATGAACAAGTGAAATAAGTTGACTGAATTTTTAAAAGTCACTTAATCTAAGGTTTTATTAGTAATGTCTACTACCAAAGTTGACAGTGTCTCTTTAAAGAAACGATTACGACTTTGGAATTAGCTGCAAAAGTAACTTCTTTCCCCATTCCCCCTTTAAAAATGGAGATTAAACATTCACAGGATTTAGTTATCTCACACCACCAACAAACAATCCAGTTTGAATATTAGCTACCACTGAACATAAGTTACCGCAGTAGTTTTCAAACTGGCCCGTGGCCCAGATATCTACAGCTTCTGAAGCTATTAGAAGAGCATACAAACTGATTCCTTCTGCTAGCTGTAGCCTACTCTAGGACTTCAGTTTTAAGTTTGTTTTTTTTTGAACCAGCTGAACTTTAAAAAAACCCTTTATCCTTCATGACTGCTTCAGATCTTTCTTTGTCAGATGTCTTTAATGCAGTGGTTCTCAGCCCATAGTCCACTTGCAGCCAGATCAGCACACAGCTGCAGCCCCATGTGACACCCTCAGGGCCATACACACAGTATATACCGTATATATTGTTTGGTCACAGCCCACATAACACAGAGAGCTACATATATGGCCCACAACGGTAAATAGGTTGAGAATCACTGCTTTAATGTATACATTTAAATATAATCAATTTTTTTGACCATCACCAAAATTAAAAAGATAGGAAACAAACAGAAACAGGACCAAACTGCACAATAATCGGAAAGTATAGAATAATAGGAGCTAAAAATCAGTTACTCAGTCTGTGCAGGTACTCCACTATAGCACCTTTTGACTTGTTTACCTATTGTTTCCCCGCTATTTCTATGACTAAAGCTCCATAATAACGCAAACAATATGCTGGCAGCTACCAGTATTTTATCTACCAGGAGAAGATCCTGGCTGAGCTTAGTTAAACAATACAACAGAAGGAAAAAAAAGGGTGGCTGCTACACACTAGCATTCCCACCACTATTATCAAATCTCTAGCAATAACAAAGGTGGAAAATTTGAGGGAAAATGCCTACTGGGGAAGGAAAGAAACAACAAATGCAAAGTGCAGGAAATGTAATTAGTTTCATCCCTCACACTAAAATATCTTTATTTTTCATCTCACCTCCTTTGTACCACTCAACATTATCTTTTTTAACCAAACATTATGATTGCTGTAGGGATGATGAAAAATCAGGGTTAAGAGTAGAGCCCTACCAAATTTATGGTCCATATTGGTCAATTTCACAGTCACCGGAGTCTAAAAATGATAAATTTAATTTAAATCTGAAATGTCATGGTGCTGTAAGTGGGGGGGGAACCAATACCATTCCACCCTTACTTCTGCACTGCTGCCAGAGGGGTGCTACCTTCAGAGCTGGGTGCCTGGCCAACAGCTGCTGCTGCTCTCCAACCACCTAGCTCTGAAGGCAGTGCAGAAGTAAGGGCAGCAATACCACGACCCCCCTGCAAATACTTTTGGGGTCAGGACCCCCAATTTGAGAAACACTGGTCTCACCCATGAAATATGTATAGTATGAAGTAAAAGTACGCAGAAGACCAGATTTTACAGGGGAGAAGAGAGAGAACATGAGCAGGGCTGTCCCTAGCTATTCTGGGGCCCTACACAGCCCCCCTGCAGGGTGTGTGTGAGTGAGGCCCCAGGCCTCTGCGGGGAGGGGTGGAGGTGAAGGGGCAGGACTGGCTTGGGGGTCAGAGGGGAACCACCCCTCAGCACTCACTGGCAGCACAGCAGGGGCAGGGTCGCTGCACTTCCCACAGCCACTGGTGAGTGCAGGTCCGCCCCCGCTGCAGTCCTCAGGGGAGTAGAGGTTGGGCTGGGGCGGAGCGGGGAGGGGGGCATGGGGAAGAGATGGGGCAGGGGCTGGAGCAGCACACAGCTGTGCAGGGCACCAAGAAACGTGGTGCCCCAAATTTCCTGGTGCCCTACGCAGCTGCGTACTTTGCGTATGGGTAGGGACGGCCCTGAACGTGAGTGCCCCATCTACACTAGCACACATCCCCAGTTGCCACCACACCTGTCCCGGGCATTGGCGAGGCATTTCCCGCGGTGGCAAGCAAAGGCTCCTGGGCTGGGGACACTGTTGCGTGGCAGGATGGGCTGCCAAAGGGTGAAGTGACTCAGGCTGGGAATGGCAAAGGCTTAAAGCCCCTACGCCGAGCTCCCCAGCTGCAGCAGCAGCCCCTGGCAGCATCTCACAGGCGGGACTGGGGTGCCCCGGGGGCACCAGAGCAGTGGGCCAGGCGGGGAACCCACAAGCTCTAGGGATACAACCTGCGACTGACCCCGCAAAAGGGTGCGGCGCCCCCGCCAGCCCCTGCCCGGCAGAGGGGCAGGACGCACCCGCCCCCGGCGCCCGCCCGCGAATGGTTACCGGGAGAAGGGGGTGAGCCCGGCCCCCTTGAGCTGGATCTCCCAGCGCTCGCCCCGCGGGCTCAGCACCTCGCCCAGGTACATGGCCGCGCCGTCGCCCAGCTGCCCGGCGAAGCTGCCGAACTGGTGCCCGCAGTAGCAGTGCGCGGCGGGCTCCGCCCCGGGTAGCAGCCGGTTCCCGCTGAAGTACAGCGCGGCCTCGGCCTCCAGCTCCTCCAGCGCCCCGGCCGCGGGGGGCTCCAGGCCCAGCAGCGCCAGGGCGGGCAGCGACATGGCCACCAGCCGCGGGCTCTGCACCGGGCTGGGCCGCACCCGCGAGAAGCAGGCGCCGGGCACCTGCCGCGGCACGTTCTCCTCGGACGGGTCCAGCGGCAACGAGCGCAGCGCCCGGTTATCGAAGCGCAGCGCCCCGAGGCAGCTCGCAGCCACCGCCGCGGCGGGGCCCGGGCTCCCCGGCCGGGCAGCGAGGGGCGGGGGCTCCTGCATGGCGCCGCTGCAGCAGCCGGGAGGGCGCAGGCCGCGCGGGACCGGGCTGGGCAGCAAGAAGCAGCGGCCGCTCCGCAGCACCGCGGCCATTCACCCACCAGGGCGAGCGGCGCAGCGACCCCGCCCCTACCGCGGGGACAAGATTGTGACGTCACGCCCAGCGCCTTATCACAGGGCGCGCTTTCTCCGAGGCCCGCCCCGCCATCCTATCCCAGGGCGAACCGCCCCGAAGGCCGCGGCCGCCGCCCCTCCGGCCTCTCCATGCCCGGGGCGGTGCCTAGCCCCCCAGCCACAGGGCGAGGTCGTATCGAGGCCCCGCCCCGTGGCTGTCTCGTGGTCCAGTGCGAGCTCTGGAGCCGCGCTGCTGTCATGGGGCGGGACAGATCGATCCGGGCCTGGCCCCGCCGCCACCCCACCCCTGTCTCTGCCGGGCCGAGCCTACGCCGGAGGCCGCGCGCGAGAGAGCAGAACCGATCCGACACTCCAGCCCGAGGCAGACCAGCGGCCCTGGGAACGTATAACCCCTCGCCGCCTGCGCCCCGGGAGCCGGCCCGGCGCTGCTTTACTGCAGGGTAGACTTGCCCGCTGAGAGCATGAGCCCGGGAACAATCCTGCACTGGCAGAGACGTGGACTGGGTGCTGGAGTCTCTTCCAGCTCTCGCTGTCCATATTTAAAGAAGTGCACCGCTTTTCGGGTGGAATACACCGTACAGTGCCCTTCTAAGCGAGCTGCAGTGAATTAAAACAAACGCATTAATTACGAAGTTATTACACAGCAATGATTCACCTTTTGATTATATTCTGCAGAAGGCAAAACGCCAATTGTAAATAAAGTGTCAGTCTCTACCAAAGACTTTTAAGAATATGTTTGTAAATGGCTACAATTAAATGGAAGGCCCAGAAGATGGTTTAAGATTGAGGGGAGTTTGTGTTCATAGACGTATTTCTCCAACACAGCCATTTATATTTTGTTACATGGTTGAAACGGTGATATAAAACAAGCCCCTATAAGGAATTCAAATTAATGCGCTTGTTTATAATTGGAGGGATTAATCTATCTTCTCGCATAACAAGTTCCCAACCAGAGATCCGCAGAGGTCTTCCAGGTGGTGTACATCAACTTGTCAAGATAGTTGCAAGTTTTACAGTAGGCTACATAAAAACATTAGCAAAACAGTACAAACTAAAAGTTCATACAATGACTTATTTATATTGCTTTATATACTATACACTGAAATATAAATAAAATATTTATATTCTGTTTTATAATTATATGGTAAAAAGTAGAACAATTTTTCAGTAATACGGTGGCTGACACTTTTGTCTTTTTATGTCTGATTTTGTAAGCAAGTACCTTTTAAGTGAGATGAAACTTAAGCATACAAAAGACAAATCAGACTCCTGAAAAGGGTACAGTAGTCTGGAAAGGTTGAGAGCCACACACAATTGTTGCCAACTCTCATGATTTTGTCATGAGCCTCATGATAATTATTGTTTTCCTTAAAGCCCAATCTCTGGGAGTCAAGTGGATATGTGATGATTTTCAGCCTTCATTCTTAAAGAAAAGGCAAAGTTCTGGCTCTTGTGACTGTGGAGAAAGCTTTAAAATGTATCCTAAAGGCTCAAAAAGCAGAAGGCAAATAAAAATAACATTTCTGTTATTTTTACATTCTCTCATTATTTGAAAGCTAATTTCATAATTTTTGAACATTTGTGTTTGGCAATACTGCAGTGGAAAGCTCCTTTTATCACTTTTGAATGAAATACTCAGATTAACACAATTACAACTAAACATGACACCATCACTGTATATTAAAACCATAACAATGTGTTCATCACCAGTAAACAGTATGGGGTGGACAGAGGTATTTGCATAATGTGAAATTGTCCACTGGCTTACCTGCTAGGGAAGGGTAAAAATAAAACTTCAACCAATCACTCTTAAGGCCATGTCTACACTGCCACTTATGGCGGCAAAAACTTATGTCGCTCAGGAGTGTGAAAAAAAAACCCATCCCCTTGAGCAACATAACTTTTGCCAACATAAATGGTACCACTGCTCATGGAAGTGGTTCTATGGAGATGGGAGACCTCTCTCCTGGCAGCATAGAGTGGCTACATGAGCTATCTTACATTGGCACAGCTGCAGCGGTACAGCTGGGCTGCTGTAAGCTCGCTAGTGTAGACATAGCCTTAGTTGCCTTTCTTCAAGGCTCACTTGATTTGAGCAAAGAAAATCCCTAATGGAGAGCAAATCAACACAAAATAGTGGGGTAATAACTATTAGAAGCTTTTCCAGCTTCAGTCATCTGTGAAGGTAGAAGATACATCATTCCCCTTTAGTAGCCTCATCCCTGGTCTCCCCTTAGGCTGATGAACTCAGGGCAAATATCCATACAGTAAGTTCCAAAAATGGACACCTGATTACTGGTCACATGACCTCTGGACTCTGTGCCTCCCTAGGAATTGCAACTCCCAGAATGCCTGTTCTTAAAGGCTAAAGGGCCATAACAGATACAAATGCATGCACTCCAATCCCCAGTACCCCATTGTATGTATGATTAATACTTGCACTGGTAAAGTTCTGAGGCCTACTTAGTGCTGTCTTCTACCTGCTGAAAATTACATGTAGAAACTGTTCCAAGGCACTGAAACTTAAGTCCAAACAAGGCTATACTTCAGCTTCAGAATTCTTTCCGAGATTTCAGAAACCAGTTGTGATTTGCACTGTCAGATCAGGACTCTATTTATATAATTCTCCAGCCAGAGACAGATAAATCCTGTTTGTATTCGTGTTAATTGGACAACATTCAGTGGTTTCAAGTTGCTGGGGTTCACTTGAAACTCATGAGGCCCTTTTCCCCCACTGCAAGTTCCATAGAACTTCCTTTAACTAGGTGCTAACTGTGCCCAGCTGTAGATGCTTCTAGGTTTTTAGGTTGTGCTTGGAAGCCCACAGCAGAGATCTCATTCACTGTTGGGGTCCTATGGTATAAATCTAGAGAATAATCACAAACAGTGGTTCTAAATCAATGAATTAATATTGTTTGGCTTTCTTATGTATATTTCTGAATGCTACTAAATGGGTGTAAATGGGGAGTGTAAAAGGGACCATTCTCCACCAGTGTTCCCTCTGATTTTCCCCCCAGGCATTTGCGGAATGAATTTTGTTATGTGCACCAATATAGAGGTGATGTGTGATATATGCACCAATATTGGGGTGATGTAACAAAATTCATGTGGGGGTGGGGGGGTTGAGCGTACAGGAGGGGTCTCAGGGCTGGGGCCAAAGGGGTTGTGGGCAGGCTGCCCCAGGGCTACGGCGGGAAGAGAGGACTCCCCCCAACTCTCTCTTCCTGCAGCAGCACCCTGGTCTCAGGGACAGAAGCACCTCTCCCCACTGCAGCAGCTCCGGGGTTGGTGCTGCAGGAGGGGCACCTCTCCCCCCGGCCTTGCCAGGTCCGGGGCTGGGGGAGAGACATCTCTCCCCGCCGCAGCCCTCAGCTGCTGCATGGCCACGCAGCATCGAGGAAACTCAGCTCTCCACCCAATTTCCTATAACGTGGACCACATCTCTGTGCATTCATGGAGCATTGGACATCACTGTATGCGGTCCACTGTATGCTGGAAAAACAAGGAGTAGGAAAATACGTATTTTTAATGATCAGAATGTGACTTGCTATTACCTTGTCTTCATCTTAATTTGTTTTATATATATTACCAACTTCCACAAAGAAATTCTTCAGTTGTGTGCCAAAATGTACACCAACATACTTCTAAGGTTCTGACCCAGTTTGGATGAGGAAGGCATCAATGGAGGGGGCTGGTTGGTTTATCTCCAATGTCATAATCCCACTATAGGACAGAGAAAGGATTGAACAGGAGGCAGACGACAATTGCTTTGATTTAGGTCTGTTGTCAGTCACAATAGGGAGGAGACGATGGAAGAGATATGGGCAAAGTAACACGGGTGCTATCTGGACAGTTCACTAAATGATAACAAAAGGTTGAGGGGAAGAGGGAGAAAGAACTGCCCTAATTATACCTGTCCTGAGACTGACTCCTAGGCAGTTACTATATAGGATGCTTGTATTGCTAATAATTATGATTGATCGTGTCTGGATGCAAGTTTGTACTGTAAGAGAGTTTCCGTAGTCAAAAAATAGAAGTTTAAGAACTATGTGCATTTGCCATCACTGGGGAACATTTCAAAATACAACTATCCTCTTATTGAGTCCATTAGTTACCTCCACTTAAAAAAATATATATTGCTATTGTCATACCCCTTGCAGCCAGTTGATGGAACTAAATATTTTAAAGCATGCAAAATACAGCAGTTAAAGTAAAATAGGGCCAGATTCTGCCAGTATTACTCATATTGAGCAATATCTTATTCTGCAAGTAACCCCACTGAAACCAAAGGGGCTGATTTGCAGTTATGGGCCTCCGGTATTAATCAAACACCAGAGGGTCAGAAACTGGCCCTTAATTATTTTGTGCACTTTGTGTGTTACCTTCATAGTTGATAGCTGGTAGTTTGTACCATTGTTTGACATGGAGTTTCTCTTTGCTGGGAGGAGATTATTTATTTTAAAAAAATTTAAAAAGCTGAAGAGATGCATTTATGTTATTTTTTTTTTTTTTTTTAAAAAGCTGAACTCTCACTTCTTTCCTCAGCACAGCACACATCTAAAATATTTTGCATCAAGCTGGGATTGGGTGAGAGGTGGAAGTGACTGTATGACTCAGGTTGTTTATCCAAACCAGCAATCAGAAGTCTTCCCCTTGCAGCATTTAAAAAATAAAGAACACTCCAGATGAGTGAAAGGAAAGTGCTTTCGTCAGAAGCTGTGAGCTCTTCAGAGCTACCCTTGCACCAGCACAGCCTCGTGGAGCACCAGCCAGGGCATCAAGTAAGAGGCAGGGGACACACTGCTGAAGGGGAGGACCTGTGAAGAAAAACATGACACAACCTCCTTGCTAATTGTCTCCCCCCAGTTACCTCTTTTTCCCCACTGCTAATGGGGGCAGAAAGGATAACTCCATTTCTTCGCTGCTATTGGTTCCCCCAGTAGAGGAAGCTCTCATCTGACTCCCTCCTAATAAGAATACAGCAGGCAAAAGA